ATGATTGAAAGGAGCGTATAATGTTAAATCCTGTGGTATTGCTTCGGGTGCTGAAGGAGTAACTCAGGAAAAGGGAGGGCAGTGAAGACTGGTTAATCAACTAGGCCTTAAAGATGCTTAAGATTTCTTTCTGTCCTCCGGGTGGCACAGCACTCGAGAGAGATGTGGCTCCAGACCCCATTTCCACCCCTCGCTAGCATAACCCTTCTGTGTCTGTTTCGGCATGGGTTAAATGGGGGACATAGTGATGCCTACTTCATACAGGTTGATTTTAGGATTAACTAAGGTGATGTATGTCAGCCTGTTTACATATATCACGTACATATATCATGTTACTGCATAGTAAGTGATCAATAATGGGTAGCTACCATTATTATTTCATCAACCATTTCACTTATTGATACAGTAATAATTTATTCTGGGGTTACTGTGTGTCAGGGACTGCCAGGCTTCCCACCTCAACACCTTGGCTACTGAGGCCTGTGGTTTTCACTTATGTTCAAGAAACTTAATTGTAATAGAAATAATAACAGCGTAGTGTCCTGAGTGCCTATTTATGTGGCAGGCCACCTGCTAGGTGCTTATTCTGATACTGCCTTTAATCTTCATCCCCATTTTACAGAAGCAGGAATAGAGGGGCCCGGCTTATGAACCTTGTCCAGGACCACATGGAGAGGTCAAGCTTGGGATTTAAGTTGCCTGCTCTTTTTTTCTGTCCCATACTGAGTCTTGTTACCATTAGCCTGAGCCTGTTATGCCCTAGACTGATCTTGGCCTCCTCTTTGTCTCTACTTCTCCGTTAGGCTCATCACCACTCTGTCTGAAAGGCTGGAGACCTGTCCCTTCTCCATCAAGCCCCTATATCTGTTTCATCACTAGGCTTTTAGTTCAAATGCATCTTTTCCCCTCCACTCCCCTTACCTTGGCCAGGCCCCCACTGACTTGGGCCTGACTTCTCAGTTGTTCTCAGTATTTATTTCACTGCCCCACACATGAGAGGTGAAGTTCACACAATATACTTTGATGGAATTCACTAAATTTTGTTAAAGCATTCTTAAAGTTTCCAAGGAGTCAAGCACAGTAATTTGTCACTGCTGCAACTGTTTGTCAGTGGTCGAGGCTTAGAATGGGCTCACTACAGTGTACAGATATGTCAGCTGCTGTGAATATAACCTGTCTTTCCCTCCTGGGAAAGCATCTTGGGAAAGAATTGGGCTCCGTTCTGTTCTAAAAGGTATAGCTTTCTTCTTTAACAAATGGCATGGGGACAGTTGGATATCCACATGCAAAAAAATGAAGTTGGGCCCCTATCACACACAATATATGAAAATTAAGGATGGATGGATGACTTACATACAACAGCTGAAACCATATAACTCTTAGAAGAAAACATAGAGGTAAATCTTCATGAACTTGGGTTTGGCAATGAATTCTCTGATAGGATACCAAAACCATGAGCAACAGAAGAAAAAAATAAAGTGGATTTCATCTAAATTAAAATTTTTTATGCATCAAAGGACATTATTAAGTGAAAAGGCAGCCTGCATAAAGGGAAAAATACTTGCAAATCATATATTTGATAAGGGTCCTGTATCTAGAATATATAAAGAAGTCTTATAACTCAACACAAAAAGGCAAACAACAGACATTTCTCCAAAGAAGATATACAGATGGTCAACAAGTGCATGAGAAGATGCTCTACATCATTAATCATTAGGGAAATGGAAGTCAAAACCGCAACGAGATACCATTTCACACCCACTAGGATGGCTATTAAAAAAAAGAAAAGAAAAAGAGTAAGTGTGGTGAGGATGTGGAGAAACTGAAACCCTTGTACATTGCTGCCGGGGAAGTCAAGTGGTTCAACTGCTGTGGAAAAGTTCGGTGGTTCCTTTGAAAGTTAAACATAGAAACACCAGATAATCTAGTAATGCCACTCCTAGGTATATACACCAAAGTACTCCAACGAATGTATGTACACACATGTTCATAGCACTGTTCATACTAATCAAAATATTCACAATAATCAAAAGATGGAAACAACCCAAATGTTTTATCAATGGACAGATGGAGAAACACATTGTGGTATATTCATACAATGGAATATTATTCAGCCATAGAAAGGAATGAAGTACCAATACAAGCCATAATGTGCCTCAACCTTGAAAGCATGCTAAGTGCAGTAACCATATGTGTCACATATTATATGGTCCTGTTTACGTGAAACATCCAGAATAGGTACATCCACAGAGACAGAAAGCAGATAGGGCCTAGGAGGAGGGGAGAATGGGAAACAATTGCTTAATGGGTATGGAGTTTCCTTGGAAGCGTGATGAAAAGATTTTGGAACTAGATAGAGGTGGTGGTTTTACAATATTGAAAAGGTACTAAATACCATTGAATTGTCCACTTTCAAATGATTAATTTATATTATGTGAATTTCATCTCAATTTTAAAAAAATGTAATCACAGACAGTGTAACCATAATTATTACTGGTAATAGATGTTTGTTGATACCAGTATGTCAGGACACTGTTGAGAATCCTTGCCTGTGACCATCTGCCAGGATTACTAGCTGTCTTCTAATTACAGCTTCTCCTTGTGGCTGAGGGTAGGGCACATCGCCAGGGATTTCTAACTCAGATGCCTTCAGGGGCCCAGTCTGTTGGGATAAATGTTTGAGGTCAGCTGGGTGTAAGACAGCAGGGAGCAGTGGGGATTAGGTGAAACTGGGCTGCACCTGCACGGTCTATAGACGTTCAGATTTACACCGACTGTCTCCAGGTTGATTCTTGCCCCATCTCCATCATTCTCCCATCCCTCTTAAACCATCTGACAGGCTAGCCTATTTTATTTATTTACAAATATATCTTTATTGATTTCAGAGAGAGGAAGGGAGAGGGAGAGAGAGAGAGAAACATCAATGATGAGAGAGTCATTGATCGGCTGCCTCTTGCACACCCCCCACTGAGGAAGGAGCCTGCAACCCAGGCATGTACCCTGACCGGGAATTGAACCCTGATCTCCTGGATCATAGGTCGATGCTCAACCCCTGAGCCATGCTGGCCAGGCTAGTCTATTTTAAAAAATCACCTTTAGTATGCCATTCAGTTGCTAAAAATCCTTTTTCTGTAACAGAATCTAAACTTCTCTGCTTCCCCTCCCAGCACAGAGTATGAGGAAGTTCAGCTGGTTCCATAGATATGGTGAAACACTTATCCCCCTCTCCACTGCACCCTGGGCCAGCCACCTGGAGATTTAGGGTAACAGGACTAAACCCATTGACTTTGGAAGTGGGTGGGGGGGTTCTCTCTGAACTTTTGGTTTCAGGGCTGCTCAGAGAGAAATGGCCAGCAGCTGGTGGCCCCTCTACAGAGGGAAAGACGGGCTTCTTTACTGTCACTTTATTTAGTGTCAGCAACCTGAGTGCACATTTGTCCATTGTCTCTGTTAGAGGAGGGAGAGAGGCACAGAAGAACCTGGAAAGATTTTTTAGTAGATGACATGGAGAAAGGGTTTTTGTTGTTGTTTTTGTTTTTTCATCTGCCTAAGCATTCAGGGGCCTGGGCCCATTCAGGATGCTGGAAGCTCGGAGTGGGGAGGGGAGTGTCAGGGGAGAGGGTGTGGAGGAAGGAGACTTGGTCCATTAGATCTAGAGAGTGCCTGGCACTCCTGCTCTGTGGCTTCTCGTAACCCCTGAGTCCTACACTGAGGAGCACATAGGATTTAGAGATCTTCGGTCCACACCCTTTTAATGTGGTAACAATTCAGTGGACATTTGCTGGGGGTGGGGCAGGGCAGGAAAGGTACAATTGTGTGACTGAGGGACCTACCTAAGGCCCTTGCCCTAAAATCGCCCTTCCCCCACTCTGAGTTGGCAGAGAGAATCTTTCTTCTTTCCCTGAATTCCATGTGGCTCAGCGTCTGGCCCACAAGAGGTTGTTTGCCACAGGCCTTCAGAACCATCCCACTTGTGAAAATGGAGGCTTGCCTTCCACAGATCCACAGCATTCACTCGCTGCCCCCTCAGGCAGAGTTCCTTGGCTTAGCTTACAGCACTGTACTCAATTAGTGTTTCTGCCCTTGTGGAGGAGATTGGCTCCCACAAGGGCACACTTAGCACTGGAACTGCTGTGAGTGAGGTGGCTGCCTCAGCTGCTATCCTAGGAACGCCGAGAGGGCTCCCACACCCCAGTTCTTTGGCATTAGAACTTGAGAGACAGGGCCCAGGGTATAACCAGTTCAGTGCACCAGTTCTTCCTTCCTGGGCCATGTTCACAGAGAGCGGGTCATGGGTGTGAACATGTGTGTGCCCTCTGACCCTGTCCACCAGTTCACTATGGGTAGGCATGAGTTCCTGGATTAAGGAGAAATCTCTGTGTCTCAAAATATGTTTTCTTAAGAGCTTAAGTAAAGTAACTTGAATTGGTTCATGGAAACTGTTCAGACACGGAAACCTTGAAAATCCAACATGCATGTCCATTCCTTGTGGTCTGAGACTGTTTATAGCCCAGGGGTGCCCCTGTAGCCAGGAAGCCCAAGTAGCCCCTCCTCAGAAGGGTCAGCTGTGACCTCACAGCTCCTTCCCTAGGTGTGAACAGGCCCAGATGCTATAAAGCTTAAGAGAGAAGGCTCTTGAGTGAGGCTGCCTGAGTTTCAGTCCTGGCTTATTTGTTGGGTGGCCTTGGAAATTTTATTTAATGATGCTGTAGTTTGGTTTCCTCATCTCAGTTTCCTTTGTAAGCACAGATGGCAATAGTACCTACCTCATAAGGCTGTTGTGTGGGTTGGAGATAATGCCCATAAAAGACTTGCCATAAAAGTGGGTGCATTGTGGCTGTTTAAGAGATGATGGCTCCTACCACCAGTCAGTCCATGGTAGCTGCGTGATGGAGCCTGCAGGAGAGGACAGGTGGATGGCAGGAGGGCTCTGTGTTTGGCTCTTTCCGTGTAATTAATGCAGATTCTCTGGTTTCTTCTGTATTCCTCTCCTTGCCCAGTATTAATCCTCCAGAAGGTGGAGAATGGAGACCTGAGCAACAAGATTCTGAAGATCACTGATTTTGGCCTGGCTCGGGAATGGCACCGAACCACCAAGATGAGTGCGGCAGGGACATATGCTTGGATGGCACCCGAAGTCATTCGTGCCTCCATGTTTTCCAAAGGCAGCGATGTGTGGAGGTAAGGTCCAGGGGTACAGGGTCAGTGTCCCCCACGACTGTTTTGGCTGCACACATGCTTTAGGACTTGGAGAACTGAGGTTGCGTAGACTCCCAGGAACCCCAAGTAGGTATAAGTGACCCCTTCAGAGCAGTCTACACTAATTCCCATGTTGCCAGCGACAGTTTCCAGTGCCTTCGTCTACCAGAAATCCCTCCAGTGCTGTGGCAAGTACAGGCCTAGGCGCAGGCCTCTCTGTGTTGGTGATTGCTCCCTAGGGAAGATCAGTAGATTCCAGGGTGGTGCAGACATTCAGTCATTCCTGGAGACCTTCACCAGGGTCATCCTGGCTTGCTTAGCAACAGTGGCTGTTACTGTGGGACTTGTCCTCACTGTAAGCTCCTGGGCCAAAAAGTATTCTTGATGCTGTCTCTTCCCTTGGTGGGCTGGGAATTATCGTTCCTAGTTATCCGGTTAACCTTTGTAGTCTATCTGTCGAATATGGATATAGAAATGCCAAAAGACCGGTCCCAAGCATGTGCTCAGAGATACAGAGTCACAGGTTAGAGCAGCCATCAGCCCAAGAGGTCACAAGGACATAGATCTAAAACTTGTCCCCACGGATGGGAGGATGAGCATCCACAGAATGTGTATCCTCATGGCTGTGAGACAGTAGCATCACCTTGGTATGCAAAAGAAAGGGCTATAGGTTATCATTGCACTTCGGTCTGTGAGGCCGTTGCTTCCTGATGTGTTTTAAAGTGAGCTTGTGTGTTTGGAAGTATGTGTATTTTAAGTAATAGCATTATTGAGGTATTGTTCATATTACATAAAGTTTACCCTTTAAAAAGAATGTCAGTGGTTTTTAGTAAATTTACAAAGTCTTATACCAGTCACCATTGTTACTAGTTTCCTAGGGCAGTGGTTACAAATTACCACACACCCTGTGACTTAAAACAATAAAGATTTATAATCCGGGGACCAGAAGTCTACAATTAGTGTCAGCAGGGCCACACCCCCTCCAGAGACGCTAGGGGAGATGCTGTTCCAAATACGGGCTCTGGGTATTAAGACATGGACATAACTTTTAGGGCCACCATTCAACCTACTATAACCACTATCTATTTTCAGAATATGTTTATTACCCAAAAAAGAAACCTAATACCTGTTAGAAGTCATTTCCTAATCTGCCCTGGCAACCCCACCTTACTTTCTGTCTCTGTGGGGCTATTATGGACATTTCATACAAATGGAATCATAGAATACGTGATCTTTTGTGACTGACTTCTTTCATTTAGCATAATGTTTTCAAGGTGTATCCATGTTTTAGCATGTGTCAGAACCTCATTCCTTTTATAGCGGAATAAAATTCCATTTATGGATATACCACAATTTGTTTATTCATTATTCATCAGTTAATGGACATTTGGGTTATTTCCACTTTTTGGGTACTGTGATCGTGATCAGTGCTACTGTGGACATTTGTGTACAAGTTTTTGTGTAAACATATGTTATCAGTTCTCTTGGGTATATACGGAGGAGTGAAATTGCTGAGTCACATGGTAATTCTACGTTTACATTTTTGAGGAACTGCCAAACTGTTTTTCACCCTGACCATACCATTTTACATACATTTCCAATAGCAATGTATAGGAATTCCAATTTCTCCACACCCTCTCAACACTAGTTATTGCCTGTCTTTTTTATTATAGCCATCTTAGTAGATATTAAGTGGTATTTCATGGTGGTTTTGGTTTGTATTTTTCTAATGACTAGTGATGCTGAACATCTTCTCATGTACTTATTGGCCATTTTTATATCTTCTCTGGATATATGTCTATTCAAATCTTTTTCCATTTAAAAAATTGGGATATATGTTTTTTTATTTTTATGTTGAAAGACTTCTTTATATATTCTGGATATAAGTCCTTTATCAGATACATGATTTTCCTCCATTCTATGTTTTTTCATGGTGGTGTTTTTTCCCCACTTTCTTGATGGTATCCTTCAAAACAAACGTTTTTAATTTTGATGAAGTCAAATTTATTTTTTCTTTGATTGCTTGTGCTTTTGGTGTCATACATAAGAAACAATGGCCTAAGCCAAGATCATGAAGACTTATACCTATGTTTTCTTCTAAGAGTTTTATAATCTTAACTCTTAAATTTAGGTCTCTGTTCCATTTTGAGTTAATTTTGAATGTGGTGTGAGGTAGGGGTCCAACTTTATTCTCTTGCATATGGCTATCCCAGCACCATTTGTTGAAAAGGCTATTCTTTCATAGTTGATTTGTCTTGTCACCCTTCTCAAAAGCAATTTACTACAAATGTAATTGTTTACTTCTGGCTCTCAATTCTACTCCATTGATCTATGTGTCTACCCTTATACCAATACCACCTTGTTTTAATTACTATTGTTTTTTAGTAAGTTTTGAAATTAGGAAGTAGTTCTCCAACTATGTTCTTTTTTAAAGATCATTTTGGCTATTCTGCATCCTTTGAATTTCCATGTGAATTTTAGGATCATTTTATCAATTTCTACAAAATAAACAGCTGGGATTTAGATAGGGATTATATTAAATCTGTAAATCACTTTGGAAGGTATTATTATCTTAATATTAAGGCTTCTAATCCATGAACATGGGATATCTGCCCGTTTATTTCAGTGATGCTTTGTAGCTTCTGTACATTGAATCTTATTTCAACACACAGAAATTACAGGGTGAAGCAGCTATTGTGAAGAAGAGAGTGTTTTTTTACTTAAAATATATGACCAGATCTCATTAGGTTGACCTATGCACTGATACTCAACTGTTTGTGACCTACGAAAACAGCAATTTCATATGCTTTAACCTGATACTTTTCATTGCTTGACCATAGGCTAACATGATTAATGTATTAACTAAACTAAGCTGCTGTTACAAAGAGCTTATAGATATGGTGGCTTAAACAAGGTAGAAATGTATTTCTTCTTTTTTAAAAAATATATTTTTTTATTGATTTCAGAGAGAGGAAGGGAGAGGGAGAGAGAGATAGAAACATCAATGACGAGATCCATTAATTGGCTGCCTCCTGCACACCCCCTGTTGAGGACTGAGCCCACAACCTGGGCCTGTGCCCTGATCAGGAATTGAACTGTGATCTCTTGGATCATAGATTGATGCTCAACCTCTGAGCCATGCCATCCGAGCAGAAGTGTATTTCTTTTAAGGTGGAGTCCAGTTAGTGCAGGCTGGTGGGGCAGTTGTGCCATATGAGATCATTCAGGAACCCAGGTTCTTTCAGGTCCCTCAGTGCATTGTGCTTGCCTGAATGGTACATCTAAGTGATTGTTACTTCTACATTTTAGTCTGCAGAGAAGGGGAAAGACCTTATTCATGGCAAGTAGTTTCTCTTTAATTTGGAGATGACCCAGAAGTTGTGCACATCTCCTCTGTGCATACCCCCAGAGGTTATATTGGCACACCTGGCTGCCAATATAAGGGAGGCAGACAAATGTAGGCTGGACAACTGTGTGCCCAGCTAAAGCTCTTACTATGGAAGAAGGAGAGAATTGATTCAAGGGGACAAGCAACCACTTGTCACACTCAACTTTATCTTACCTTTCTCCATGGGAAAACATGACTTCTCAGTAACACGCTTGTGTTCTACTTTCTAAATTCTTGCTGGCCTCTCCTCCCAGCCTGGCCCTGAAATCATTCAGATATTATTGCCACATTCCAAAGATTGCTGCTGCTGCAATGATTTGGGCAGACCTACCTCTCATATCCAGGTACATTCTTAGTGAGAAGGGAAAACCCAAATGCCTAATGTAGGATCTTCTCATAGTTATAGAAGTGGCAGGCAAGCAAGGGCAAGGCCATTTCAGGGCTTTGTCCATTATGGAAGGAACAAGGCAAGACCTTTCAACTTTTACCCAAAGTGTCCTTGTTCTGAGACTAACCTCCAGGTCTTGCCCTTAAACCACAGATTCTGAAAGCAGGTTTAAGGAGCCTCTGAGGCATCTGATGATGTTATCCGACTATCTGAAGGGAGTGGCTTGGAGGTAAATTTCAAATCAACAGCACCTTGGAGGAGGTGTCTTGGAATTTGTCACATGCTCTGCTGATGGGTCTTTGGCTTAGAATTGTTCCCAGGACTTAAGCTCCTGACTCAGCTTGGCTGATGAATGTGGTTTGAAAACATAAGTCACCCTGTTCCCTTCCAGCTTTCTTAGCTTCCGTGCTTCAGTATTTCTTTCTAGGACACAATCTATTGAACCCATTAAATGGGCTTTTATTTCTCCCTCCACAAGCCTACTCATCTAAGTGGCTCCAAATGATTTTGCATCTTTAACGTGTGTCCATTGCTATTCGTGCAGTACACATACACTGGAAGCAGTATTTACTGCCCACGGATGCTTACAGGCCAGGCTCTGTGCTGAATGCTATGCATCGTTTATCTCACGTGTGGGGTGAAATGGAGGGATTTTATTATTGATCATTGTAAGTTTTTAACATTACAGTAGTAAAATGTTTTCACTGTAGAAAAAAATTAGAAAATATGGATACACAGAAAAAAGAAAAGAAAATCACCCACAACCTACTTCTAAAGATAACCCATATTGGTATTGTGGCGTGTTTATTACTGTGCACATGCTCACCCACCCATCCCTTAAAATGGGATCATTCTGTTTTTTAAGCTACTTTTTGAATATAATATCACATGAGTATATCAATATATATTTATTGCCAATAAAAATATTAATGTGTATGTTACACATATATGTTAGTAAATATGCCATCATTTTGAATGAGAGTACGGTTAACAAGAAGAATTGTATGCTACTTTGCAGTCTACAAAGTGTTTTCACATGTTGTAAGTTCAGTTGTCTTTGCCAAAGGTTAATAAACAGTCAGTATGGTTCCTGAACGAGGGGTTACAGCTATAAGAGCCCATTCAAGGGGCACCTCTCCTTTCAGAGCATGGACCCCTGAGTTGAGAGTTCTCTCTAATAAACAGGCTATCTCTAATTTAGAGACTACACAGGTTAATAAGAAAACAGTCCTGGTGCTGCTCAGGTGCGGAATTGCTGTGCCTTTGGTTGTAAAGGGTTGCTATCCACTCCAATGCTTTTCCTCAAGTTGAAAAAAATAAAACACCCTCCCCCACCTTTGATGGTACCAAACGGGCAAGGGTTATCACACCTCTGGAGGTGGCTAGTTAATGGCACGGGTGAGTTCCCTGCAGGTTCGGGGTTTGGCAGTGAGGACTCGGGAAACCACTGGCAGCCCTGTAGGAGCTAGCAGTTCTCTGTAGGGGAGGGACTTGAGGCAGTGTTTTAGCTGGTGCTTCCAGGCTGCTTGTAAAGGGCCTCTTGACCTTTTCTTGCAATCCCCAGAGGACAACACAGTAGGCTAAACCTGAGGGAAATCTGTGGGTTTCTGCCTACCTCTCCCTGGAGCTCAGACCCAACTAAGGTATATTTCTCCAGTTCCCTTCTTGGACTCTATTCCTGTGAAAGGAACACCAAGACTTCATTTATATCACCCACCTTCTGTTACAGAAATAAACAGGAACATTGGCAGAGGCAAACTTTGACTGGTTGAGTCATCCCCGGAAAGGCTCCTTCCAGAAGGCTGGTGTCCTTCAGCAAGGCTCTCCAGGCGCGGTGGGCTCTCCCCAACTCGCACCAGGCGCTGTCTCATTTCAGGTCCTTTCCAAGGGGAAACATGGAGTTTGTGAGCCATAGGTGGTGATTTCTGGATGAGGAGCAGTTGGTACATATTCTCTGCAATTCTGTGAGGTGTAGAGATGGCTGTCTTTGTTGTACAGATGAGGGAACTGAGGTCTGGAGATGTGAACTTGCTTTCCCAAGGTCACATGGCTGGTAAGTGGTAAAGCAGGCATTTGACTTAGTCTGTCTCAGTCTTTCTTGAGCAGCAGTTCTCCCGCTTCACTTAGTTGTAGAGCCCTTCAAATGGAATGGAATGCCAATGAGCAAAGAGGCGAGCCAGGCGTGAGCAGAGTTGCCCTTGTTGAAGCCGGGAGGGGTAAGGTGCCTGGCTCCCTCCCCCCTTTTCCAGGTGGCCTGAGACATCTCGGGTCACCTAGGGCTCCACGTGAAAACCATCACAGAGGGGGCGCTAGGACACTAAGAGGACACCTTTGGATCTTTGAAACACTCTACTGTATTTCCAGGTGTTTAGGGTTCAGACACCAGTTGTTTCTGCCTGGATGGGAGAAAGGGGTTCTTTGGGACCTTGGGCTTTCATTCCTCAGAGTGAGGTAGGCAGTAATGCCAAGAGTGGGCAACTGAAAATGAAAGTCACTCTAACTTAGGAATCTAATCAGCAGTGTTGAGGGTTCTTAGAGGTCACTTGGTAGAAGCTACCCAGCATGACCACTGTCTGGGTGAGTCACATTAAAGGTTTGGCAGGAAGTATAAAAGTGCAATTCTTGGTGGTATTTGGGACTTACTCTAGGGTACCCAGTGCACCCTGCAGGACCATTTCACCATGTACTCACTCCCACACCCATCCACTAACTCACTGTATGAGTGCCTACTATGTGCCAGAGCCTGAGCAAGGCCCTGAGAATGCAGATTAGAAACTACTATCCTTGCCCTCTAGGAGGCCATAGGCTGGTGAACAAACAATTGCAGTGTGTGGCAGCCCAACTAAAGGTTGAGTAACACCTGGAGGTGTTAGGGAAGGCCTCCTGAAGCGTCCAATTGTTCCCATCAGTCTGTCTAAAATCCAATTCCTTGTCTAGACAAGAAAAGACTTGAAACTGTCTACCAGGCTTTTTTTCTGTCAAGATACATAAAGAAAACAATAATATTGGGAGGGGTAACTGGGATAAAGCCATTGTCCAAGGAGACTGGCCAGGCCACTCTGAGAGTCCATCTGTAGGGATGCCCCTGATACCCTGGCACATGGGTTGGCACATTGCTGCCCTTTGGAGCCATGTCAGGCCACTGGAGCTTCTTTAAAGGCAAATTCATGTCCTTGTTCATGTTGATCCCTGTCTCTAGAGTACTGACTCTTCCTTCATTCAGCTGTCAAAGGTTTAGCTTAGCGTTTAGCATTCTCCTGCCCCAACCTGGTCTGGTTTGGGTGACCCTCTTTTGTGCTTTCATAGTATTTCTGCTGTATTTATCTGTATTCTAGTTGATGTTTCTTCCATTCCTGTCACTAATTCTTCATGGATAAGATCTGTATCTGTGTGTGGGTTTTTAATCCTCACCTGAGGATATGTTTTTATTGATTTTAGAGAGATAGGAAGGGAGAGGGAGAGAGATGGAGAGAGAGAGAAAGAGAGAGAGAGAGAGAGAGAGGAGAATTGATATGAGAGAGAAGAAACATCGATCAGTTGTCTCCCATACACACCCCAACTGGGGATCAAACCTGCAATCTGGATATGTGCCCTGACCAGGAATCAAACCCGTGACCTTTTGGTTTACAGGATGACGCTCTAACTAACTGAGCCACACCAGCCAGGGTGAGATCTGTATCTTTATCCTGTACCCCAGTGCCTGGCATTGAGCTTAATGAATAATAAATATTTAGTAGATGCTTAAAACAAATGAATAAATGGTGGTGCATTTGAATCAGATCTTGAAAGACTATCAGAGTTTACCAGGCAGAGGAATGGTAGAAGGGCATTCTAGAGAGAAAGAATTGAAGTTGCTTCGGGGTCCACCATGATTTACTTCATCTATGCCCTTAATATATGCTGCTAGACCTGTCTAAAAGGTGCTTTCCTTCTCTGCAGAATGATGGTGAAACTTACCTTGCAGGTTTGTTGTAGGGATTCAAGATGATGTTTGTAAATGGCATAGCACCCTGCACATGGAAGGTTCCATGATAAAATAGATACTGGCTTCATTTTTTTCAAGTTAATATGACTTTTTGTTGGTTGTAAACTACTGATGAGTATTAAAAAAATGTGAGGTTTGTGTTGCAAATATAAAGGAGAGCTACTGTTTCAAATGTTCATGGCCTTATGTTTTCTTGTCCTGACTTATTCCTGGAAGGATTGAACGCTTCATAATTTTGTCTAGTTCTTATTGTGAACTCATAGAATAATTATTCTGCTAAGCTTTGTGCTCCTCATTCTCTGATTCCCAGGACCTGTGAAAAGAAAGTCTTCATGTGGACTTGCAAAGTAGGGAGGGAACTCTGACGTCTTCACAGCTGACAATCTGCTCTGCTGCACTGGTGCAGGCCACCCTGGTGACACTTTCCCCTTTGAATTAGATGGTAGTGTCTATTAAAGACTCACACCAATGGGGGCAGGAATCTATTCAGCCTAGTGGGCATTAAAGAAATCTTTTACATGGGGGAAAATCTGTTTGTTTGGAGGGTCAGCTCTCTGCATTTCTAAAGTGTAAGAAAATACGTATTTGTGACTAAAGCTGAAGTTTTAAAACAGAAAACTTCTGTTTTTTTAAAACAAAAAACATGTATTTTGAGGAGGCTGCCACCTTCTCCCAGCTGATTACATTAACAATAACAACAACAAAATAGCTGTGGCCCTTGAGCACCAATTTAAACACTAGAGGAGCTCATTTCATTTCATGACAGTCTTGAGAGACTACAAGTGTTATTTGTCCTTTACAGGTGAAGAATTTGAGGAACAGACTTTGAAACCAAGTGTGCCTGACTTGCAAGAGTATTTGCTTTCAGCCAGAAGGCCTTATGGTCCCCCTTTCATATTACATTAGTATGTCTCTTTTGTTAGTCTCCCTACATGCAGGAGAGAATGTGGGATGCTCAACAAGGCCTCATGAGCTATTTCAGTGAAGCTGCACCTGTGGTCATCTCGTGGCTTCTGTCTCCTTCCTCTCCTTAGCTATGGGGTGCTGCTTTGGGAGCTACTGACTGGTGAGGTGCCCTTCCGAGGAATCGATGGCTTGGCAGTCGCTTATGGAGTGGCCATGAACAAGCTCGCCCTCCCCATCCCTTCTACATGCCCAGAGCCTTTTGCCAAACTCATGGAAGGTAAGTGATCCCTGGCCGGAACAAAACGAGACAGTTCTCCTTCCTATCAGCACTTGATAGATTTTGGCCAATTCTGCAGGATCAGTTACTGAAAGAGGAGATGAAGTCTTAGTCACTCAAGGAGGACTCCTATGGGTGGCTGGAAGAGCTACTTCAGGATGATGTCGGCATCCTGATACATAGATTATTTAATACAAATGAAGAAGGTATAACAGCTTTTATTTCAGGACCTCTGAGTGTTTTACATAGAGAAATGTAGAGCACCTGAGAAGAAAGGAACTCTTAAAGTCATCTAGTCAAATCCTATAATTTTGTAAGTGAGAAATCCAAGGCTGAGAGAGGTCACTCCAATTAGTTAGAGCTGAGCTGAGAGTAGAAAGAATTCACTTTTCCTGACTCCCACTCCAGTGCTTTTGATCCTTGCCTTCTCAACTGCCTATTGAGCTGGGGAAGGGTAGGTCATTTATTTATGGGAAATTGAGGTCCAAGGTATAGTTGCCCATTGTGGGTACTGGAATCGCGAGTAACTGGATAAATGGTGGTAGTGTACTTCGCACAAGGGAACTCTCTGGAGTTGCTTTTCTCGTGCCGAATCAACAGTCACCACCGGATGGGTGCAGAGGTGCAGCATTTTCTTTCCAGATGCACTCTTCATGGTTGTGATGTTGGCCACCTTGCTTTACTTCCCAGGCCCTAAATTTGTGGGACCTAAATCCCAGTTTCTGTTTCTGGAAAGAGAAATGAGAGGCAGTTTTCTGGTAAATGAGGTCACATAATATCCTACGTCTTATATTTGCCTCTGTCCGTTCATGCTTTCTGTCTGCTTATGTGTTCTGTGAAGATTGCTGGAATCCCGACCCCCATTCACGACCACCCTTCACAAATATCCTGGACCAGCTAACTACCATAGAGGAGTCTGGTTTCTTTGAAATGCCCAAGGACTCCTTCCACTGCCTGCAGGATGACTGGAAACATGAGATTCAGGAGATGTTTGACCAACTCAGGGCCAAAGAAAAGGTAAGAAAGACACGATAAAGGCATGCATTGCATCAGTGAGCCTTCTTTCTCTACTGGGGCATCTGGACAGATCCTGACACCACCACCTTCCTGCTTGGTTTGCAATAATAGGGCACTCTTGGGCAAGTACTAGCATGGTGTCTCACCCTGCCAGCTGAAAATACCAAAGGGTTCTAGAAAAGTTTGTGGGTTTTGCCATGGACTTTTAGAGGGGTTAACTTGATACAGGGATACTTCAACATCAAGAACAGTTATCAGAACATCTTGCCAGTGTCTTTTGGTATCAGAATCAGAAATAGCATGTGGGTTAAAAAATGAGTCTGAAATTGTTGTTTGGCATTTTTAATGTTTTTACGAAGAGGGCTGACAGCCCAAACCAACTGGGTAGTTCAGAGACTTAGCCAGGTAGAGGTCCACCTTCTTGTTTTGTGGCCATTCCCTAAACAGCCCCTCTCTATGCCCTTGGTACAGTCAGCGTCCACGCAGGTGAAGCTAATCGAAGCGGTTGTGTTGCTTTATACCACAAGGGCAGCACTAAATCTAAGGGCTACAGCTATATACAGACTTGGTTCATTTCTCTTTCCCTTCTCACTCTCCACCATGGGAATTTGGGAAGCAATATGATAATAATAGTAGCTAAAATCAAATATCTCTTTATGACTTTCCCGTTCTTTCACCTGAAAGGTATGATAAGAGCTTTTTGTCCTTTCTATCCAGGAGTCTTATGGCCCCTGCCACCAGCGTATAGGCAGGTGGTGTTACCCTTTTCTTCCCAGAGCTGAAGGTCGGTGACATGTCTAGTAAGCGGGGAAACAGAATCTTCAACCTGAGGCTTCTGGTTCCAAAACCATCCCCTTCCCAGCATCATTATTATTTCCTTAAACAAATGACTTCAACATCATTTCTGGAGCTGATGTGAAGTGACTGAACTCTTTTTACTCAGCACGGCCATCCTAAACTTGGTACTGTTGGACAGCCAGCAAGCATTCTGCAGGGGAACGGAATGAGCTTATGACTAGTCTTTAGGGACCCGAGGGGAGAGGAAGGTGGATCTGTACTGACCATTGAGCAGAAGGATTAAAAGAGACTGTTCCTACTATGAATGCTATTCCAACTAGAAGAACCACAAAGTTGCTGGCATTTTTTTTTAGATTGCTGAATCAATGACTCTTGGTTATTTTTTTGATGGATGAAATAAGTACCAGTGTTTTTCACTGGTACCAGCCAGTAAAAAAAATGAAAGTTGGATTTTGTCAATAAGTAGTTACTAGGAAGAGTCAAACCCGTTCTCCTAATAGCTAACATTTGTAGAGCATGTACTATGTGTCATGGTCTGTTATAAGTCATTTATATGAATTCTTACATAATCTCACATAATAAGATAATGATTATCTTAGGTAATACAACCCTGTGATGTCGATGCTATTAATTCCATATCACAGATGAGACCCATATTAAATTGCCCAAGGCCACAATTCAGACAGTTTGTCCCAGAGTCCTCGCTGTTAACCACCATGCTGTGATGCCTCTTCATTATCAGGCTCGTAGTTGAGCAGTTGAGGGTATGGTGAGTAGTGAGCTTTCTCTCTGGAGCGACTGCTCTTAAATTATTGTATGTGGAAGATGTGATTGGCATACTATGATGCTGATCCCTAAATAGGTGTTTCACAAGAAGGAGATTTACCATGTCTGAGGGGCTTCCAGGTATATGGAGCCATAGGCAAGTACTCTGTAAATGTCCTGGTTTCCTGTGTAATTCAGCTTATTCTTCAGGTTGGCTCAACCTACAGCTTCTAGGTATTGTGACTATGGGTTGGTCTCTGGACTAGGGTTCAAGTTCCCTTAAAGGAAGAGGCTTAGACTGAAACCATCCCTTAGACAAGAGCATTCAGGAGAGAGGACTTAGGAAGGCTGATATTAGCTTGAAATGGTTCAGCTTTCCCATTTAGCAGCAAAGTCAACCAACAAGTAATACTCTTTCTGAATCTTCCATGTGTTTTTGTCTTCCTGATGGTGAAAACAAAGTAGCAGGACAGGGAAGCCAAGGGTTTAGAAGGTGCACAATTAATCTCTTTGGAGTTTGTTTCATCAAAGGAGGAGCTCAAAAGTTCACGCTCATCTCGTAGATACTTATGATGAATATATGTTCCCATAAAGAAGGATGGCATTTATAAAATTGACTCCTTTCTCCTTTCTCATTCATTCATTCATTGACTCCACAGTTACTCAGCAACCTCTCAGCATCCACCATGTATTAGACAGTTTTCTAGGTGCTAATCTTCGTCTCATTTCTCTTTGTATTACTTCTACGGTTATTTTGATATTCTCTTGGGAATGGAAGACAAGTCCAATGAAAAACTTTCAATACCAGAATATTTTACTCCCATCTCTGTTCTCTCTTCTGCTCTCTACCTGCTGCTCAGCTTCCCCAATATGTGCTCACATACTTTTTAAAAAAATAGCTCTAGGTTCCTTATCTGTAGTATTTTGTTTTTGTTCAGAATGACTTCTACTGGAGCATGTCATTGAGAATTTTAAGTTTCGACCATAGAAGTGTTCCTCTGGCTTCTTTGTTGAAGGAACTGCCCACTTTTTAGACATGGTTCTCTCAGGTTATTGGCCCGAAAGCATCTTAAATTTTCTCCTGTTCCCACCCCACTTCGGTCCTAGGCCTGTGGTATCCACTGTTAACAATTGAGATTCCATATTTAAAATTTTTATACACATGCTTTGTTCTCTTTCCTGTTTTCGCTCCTATTTCCTGATTCCATGTCCCTCACCTCTCCCTAGGACTCCGTGCTGGGTGCATTGATAAATTCCTGCAGAAGGAAACAGGGGAGGCAGGGAAGAGGCTCGGCCCCCCTAACGTGCCAGTGGTTCTAGAGCAAGTGCCTGGCAAAGACGTCAGGAAATGTCCTCTCTTCTCTTTGCTGCGCTGTCACGATCCTTCTAGAGCAAATGGCTATCCTTTGAGATAACACGAGAATTCAAACACATGCCTCAGCCGATTCACTCACTGAGTGAACATGCCCCCATACCTCTTCAACAGCCACCGGGAAATATATTTTTATTTGAATGTTTTAGGTGATGCCTAGAGGCTGATTCATTTACAGTGGGCACATTTTAAGCTAGAGCACGTTAAGTTGGCTCTGGTTTAAAAAATTTTTATGTGATGGAAAAAATTAAAATAGAACCAAGTCTGTAAATTTTAAGTACATATTATATGTTCTACCCAAACCCCCGTTTTTTCCCAAGTCATGGGCAATTTTAATCAATAACCAAGGAGCCACTGGGAACTCTCAGCCTGGGGCTCGGCCTCCGGCAGCTCTGGCTGCGTCCTCGGCGCGGCTGTTCCGAGCCTGCCTTCCCCGCCATCCAGGTGCCAGGTGTTCATTTACCAGCGACCACTGTGCCGCCGCCCCTGCTGGGGACTGGACGTAGGGGGCGGTGCAGGGGCGCCCTCCAGGTGGCCAGGAGCACTAACCCTCCGGGGCTCTCAGCCTCACCCCCGGCGCCGATCGCCCCACTCTTGCTCAT